GAAAATGTAGAATATTAACCATAATTATTTTACTTTTTTAAAGAAAAATAAAAATCTCTTCCATATTTAACAAATTCCTTTCTTAGAGGAAAATATTGTGGCCTTTACCTATTGAAAATTCTTTCTTCATACAACAACAACAATATAAGATTCACAATGTAGTCATTAAAAGAGCTTTGTTTAGGGGGGGGGATTTTTTTCTCCATAGTTCTTTTCTAATATATTAGTTTTATCATATGTAGGTCAATTGACCAAACCGTATTAAAGTATTATGTCTCTATTAATATACTTTTTTGTGTTGTCTGATTTATCGTCATCATAGTTGCTACGTTAGCTTACGGAAGACGCGTTATTATTTTCGATTTCAACAAATGATATCAGAGCTAATGATTCAATGAGGTTGAAGATAGATTCAAGGCGGGTCCAGGTCAAGTTGCATCAAATTTGACAATGTTAAAGATTTAATTTCTATCCAAAAAAAAATCAATATGAAATACTACATGTGAAGATAAATATTTCAATCACATTTACAAAAATCATAGTACTGCATAAAAAAAATAAAACTATTCTTAATTCATACTTGTGGGCTCCAATTTTTAACTCATGCTTACTTATAACGTATCAGCTCCCATATTTAACTCATGCTTACTTGTAACACATCAGCTTTACTTTTAATTTTGCTCACTTTCAATGCAAAGCTCCAATATTTTTAATTGTGTTCACCTTTAATGCATGAGGCTCTAATTTTTATCCTGTACCTATTTTTAACTATGCCAGGAAGTAGCAGTGATGAAGAATATGTGAAAAAGACGGATCCGACATTATCAAGAAAATTCAGCGTAAGGGGAGCATTATTAGAAATTTGTCCTGATTTTCTTTTACCTGAAGGAAAGGTCGAATATTAACCATAATTTGTCCTTATTTGGATTTATTCTTTTACTTGAAGGAAAGGTAGAATATTAACCATAATTATTTTACTTTTCCTTAAAGGAAAATATAGATCTCTTCCATATTTGACAGATTCTTTTCTTGGAGGAAAGTTGTGATTGAGATTCATTTGAATATGCGTTTAAACACTCTCTTTGATGTTATTTTATGATTCCTACCTTGTTCTCCATTGATACACATATGCTTGGTAAGGAACAATGTAAAACACGAAGGGTGATGTCGTACCATGTTATGAGAGTATAAAGCACGAAGGGTGATGTCGTGCCATGTTATGTGAGTGTAAAGCACGAAGGGTGATGCCATGCCATATCAATTGAGAGTAAAAGTATGAAGGATGATGTTGTGCCATATCATTTGAGAGTAAAAGCACGAAGGGTGATGATGTGCCATGTTATGTGAGTGTAAAGCACGAAGGGTGATGCCATGCCATATCAATTGAGAGTAAAAGTATGAAGGATGATGTTGTGCCATATCATTTGAGAGTAAAAGCACGAAGGGTGATGATGTGCCATGTTATGTGAGTGTAAAGCACGAAGAGTAATGCTATGCTATTTCATTTATATTATCATGCTTTTAAATTATCATGAGTTCATGACACGATGGGTGTTTCCGTGCATGCAAGGACAAGGGACATGCATTATATTGTGATAACTTTTCCTTGTGTATACGTTTATGCCTTCACATTGAGCTGTTATTGTCGTATTTATGGTTCTTATGTGACTTGTCATTAATGCCATGTCTTTGTCCTCTATCTTAATTGTTATTGTGTTGTTCATGCCTTCTACTTGCTAAACTTGCAAATATCATGCCTACTTCCTGCTGTCATAATTACATCTTTGCCGTATCTATTTTGTTGCACTTTAGTATAGGCCTTCTACCATGTTAGTCATTCATGGCTCTACTTGGTAACTTATAAAGATCATGTGTTCCCCTCTTATTCGTTATATCCATATTTAGGCCTCCACCATGCTAGTTAGTTGAAGTTTATGTTCCTGTTTCTTAATTGTTGTCATTACTCCTATGTTTTTCGCCTAGTCTATTAATATTGCCCATATGTATATCCTTGTTCATTATTGCTACTCATGTATTTCATACTTTGTCAATACTGTTATCGACATTTCTGCCATCTGGTTGGTACTGTTATACACATATTTGGTGTGGATGAGATAAATGCATGAAGGGTGTTGCCGTGCAATTGACTTAATATCTGAGTACATTCCTCACGCTATGAAAGTTATGGAGTGACTATCGTGGTAATTGGTTTTCGTTCTAAGGAAAAGATTGGTTGAGATATTGGAAAATGTTAAATTGAGATCTCTTCTAGTACTCAGTTATTGCTTTGCATATTTGTTTCATGTACTCATTTCTGTTATATTGTATTATAGTTCTATTGCTAGTTTATGGTACAGGTTTTATCAGTGAATATCTTTTAACTAAAAAGCCTCGTCACTATTTCGATGAGGTTAGACAAGATACTTACTGGTAACATGGGATCGGTTGTACTCATAATATACTTTTGCACCTTGCGTGCAGATTTTGGAGTGGAGCTGCTGGTGATGTCGGGAGCTGACACTGAAGATGTTCGTGCATTCCAGAATATAGCTGCCACTTATCCTTGGTAGCTTTAGATTTTGCTAATCTGTTTATGTAACGTTAAAACATATCGTGTATTTATTTGTACCGGCTTTGTAAATTTCAAATTCTTAGAAGCTCATGATTCGTACTACCAGTCCTTAGGTTAATATGTAAATGTTCAGATAATTCTTCATCGTTTCCTAAAAATTTTATTTGGATTGTATTGACTGTTAGTTGACTTACCTAGCGGGTCGAGTTAGGTATCATCACGACTAGTAATTTTTGGGTCGTGACATGACACCACAATGACTTTCTAATTTTAAATAGCATGAAGAACTATCAACTTATATAAGAGATACTTATATAAGTACGGTGTGATGAGATGATTATCCATTTCAATAAAGTATCAGAGCACACCAAGATGTCCTAAGTTCAAATTGTCTGTTTAGTTCTTTGCGTATTATGCATTTTCGAATGCGATCAATTTATGTGCTAACGGATGGTTGTGGAAGATCAATCAGGCGACTCATCTCCATCTAGTTCCTCTCTGTATGAGTATATGATAACTTATTGTGTGAAAATTAGTCTCAGACTTGAAAGTCAGTTACAATAACTGCTACTATTATCACGGAGATGATCAATTAATATTACTAACATGATTTCTATCATTTAGTTAAACAGCATGTGTGTGTCCCTTAATTCTAACTCAAGACTCTATTTTGTTTTGTGTCTCAATCTCACCTATGGTTAAAGTTAAGCATTTCAAACTACGTCTTACCTAGAATTACACTAATTTGCATTCGGTCTATAACCAATTATCCGTATATACTTTAAAGAGTCTTTTGGTTCAAAACCAAGATATTCCAGAATTATAATCCTAGGATTAGAGGTGTACAAAGTACAAACCGAACCAAAAAATCGCATCAAACCGAAAAGTCAAACCAAACCGATTGAAAAACCCGATAACTTTGGTTTGAAATTGAGTAAAAACAATCGAACCAAATCGACATATAAATAGTATAATTTTTATATATACTTTTAAGAGTTTATATTGATTTTTTTCTAAAAACGTCTAGAAATATTTGAGATTCTCTTATGAGATGTAATATTTAATAGAATATGAAGTGCTCCATTTTTATTAACTTTAAATGATGTGTTGAGTGATCACTTTCTTATCAAGTGGTATTGAAATGCGTAATCTCTTCATATTCATATGTCAAAATCAATTAGATTCTTATATCTTTTTCGAATTTAAAGTGGTATTCGATAATTGAAAATTAAATAGAACATATCATTGTTTAGGTATCATATTGATTTTTATGTTTAATTATTAAATTCGATTAACTTTGAAAGTATACATCAACAAAAATTTATTGTCAAACAACGAAAAAAATAACTATCATGTGTTACTAAAAAAATTCTCCTATAAGAATATTTTAATAGATCATATGTTTGTCAATTTTTTTTAATTTTTATTAAACATATATTTACCTATCAAAAATTTTAAAAAGTAAGATTGACTTACTATTCATGTAACAAAAAAATCCGAAAAATCCAACAAAGCTGAACCAATCCAAACCGATATAGTTGGTTTGGTTTAGTTTTAATAAAAAATAAACCAACCCGGTCCATGTACACCCCTACCTAGGATTATAACCTGGATAATCACTTTCACCTTTTATATGGGATAAGTTATACCAAGGTTTTGGTACAAAAATTAATACTGGTTTTAGCTAATACCTCTAACTAAACACGGGATAAATTTAATCTCCAAAATTTATACCGAGATAACCCACCTGATCCCTTGGACCAAACGGCCCTTGATAGTTGTTAATCTAACAGTACATTAAATATATAACCAATATTACCGTGTAAGACCGGACAAACGAGGAAAAAGGAGTTATAGAAAAAGTGAAAGATGTATTTTTGAAACAACATCTTGGTGATCATAAATGTAGAGATACCTTGTGGTGAATAAACTTGAAATTAGTACTGCACTATGATTACAAGTGAGAGCCTCTAAAAGAAATGAAAGCTACATCAATCCTGCTGCTGAAATGAGAGGGCATCTAGCACTGCAGCTCTATTAAGTATTCTTTACAAGTGAGAGCTTCTATACTGAAATATTACCATTTTTTTCCTCTAGAGAGAAATATGTAGTTCAGTTGTAATATGACAGTCCAGAAAGGAGGGCGGAGAGGAAAAAGATGCATTAAGTTGTTCAAAACGTCACTAAACAATATGCACCAAAGCTTATGTAAGAATCAGCGTCGTTCATTGGGCATTGATGATTAAGAAATTAATAGACGTGCAAATGTAAGAATGTCTAAGTAGGTTGACAACAACATACTCAGTATTATCCCACACTGGGAAGGGTAGTGTATACGCAGACCTTACCCCTACCTTGTGAGGATAGAGAGGCTGTTTCCAATAGACCCTTGACTCTGTCTAAGTAGGTTAGTAGTCACAAATTAAAGTAGATCATGTTAAGAGCTACATGTCAATTAGCATTTGCAATCATATTAGAAGTAGATTGTTGAAAATGCTGCTAAACTAAGTTCCGGAAGGATTACAGGGTGGACAGAAAAAGAAACAGAGTAAAGCAAATTGATGGCATTCTACAACATGCTTACTTGTAACTTCCCTACAAGACCTTTGCTTGTTTTCTTCTATGATGCTCTGGCACTTCATTTGTATTCCTCCACATTCTGAAATGTTATGAGATCAATAAAAGCTTAGAAGAAACTTCTGTAACAGGTGAGATATAACAATCAAAACGAATTTGATCTTTTCAAGACAGGCTTCAGCTGCTTATCTTCCTCGAGTGCTACCATTCCCGCATGGGATGGATCTTCAAGCATCATCTTTGCCACCAAGTAGCCAGCAATTGACCATGTCTGGTGTTTCCGAGCTTGCTTCCCAATGAATCGTCCAAGTTTTCCATCATAATATTCAGGCCACCCATCCTTGGACAGCCTCGTTTCAGCAAGTTCAATGGCACGCCTTGCTATCTGCGGCCGTCCAGTCTTGATACACGCCGCCGTGAGGAGCCATAAAAGCACTGCCACCAAACACAAAAATAAATATCAGCAGAGCAGTATGCTTGAAAATGTACACAAGACTACCAATGATTACATGTGCCAAATTAGTACTTTTTCATGACTACTACGCAGTAAATAGGTCTTGTATTACCTGAGTAAGGTTCCTTAAAAATGTTCAAGTTAAGCCATACAAGGATAAACACAACAAGAAACTTTCATATGAACAGACTGAGCAGTACATATATGTCAAGGAAGTGTTGGTTAGAGAAACAACTAGCTAGTTGTGTTCAGGAAAATAGAACAAAAATTATCTGAACAAAGTAAAACGTACCGTTTTACAGACAGGATTAGATTAAAAAGTGAGCTACAATATCAGGAAACATTCTTCAATGAAGATCATCACTATTTTATTTCACACTTCACTATCCACCAAGGAACACTACTAAGGCAATTAATCTTTTCTTTTCTTTTCTTTTTGTTATGAAAATTACTAATGCTATTCTTACCTGGCCATGAACCTCCATTATGGTAGCTCCATCTAGTATTTTTTGGATCACATCCTGTTACAATCCGCCACTCGTGACCCTCTATAGCTGGATAACAAACCTTCAAAGGCATTTCCCCTACCAGTTCATGCCAACGTGACTCAATAAGATCCATGATCTTAGTTTCCTGTTCAGGGGTCGCTAAGCAAGATAAAATTGCAATACAATTGCCCAAGCAGAACCATCGGAAATCCATGTTTGAAGGGCCAACATTTCCAATGAAATAGCCTCCATGAAGTGGCATGAAATCAAAAACCCATTCTGGAAGAGAATCGGGAATGACATTAAACTTGTTGACTGCTGTGTGGGAATATTCTTCAGTTTTATATCTGTATATGTCATTAACTTGCTTCAGGTCGAGCCAAAAGTAGGTTCGCATGTGATAGCTTAATGCGTGCAGCCTCTTTACAATTCGTTCTATGAATTCCTTCCCTTCAGCGTCTTGCTTGAGTAAGAGAAGTGCACATCTTAAGGCCATGAAGAATAGTGCTTGTATCTCTATTGGGTATCCGTAAACACCCTGACAATGTCCATGCACCACAAAATAGTCATTGAAACTGGAATATAAAATGCATACTTAGGGTAAGCACACTAATATGGAAAAGCAAATTGTCTTAGTTGCAGTAAACATCGTAAGTTCAGCACTGAAAATGCCAGGTCTGTATGAGAAAGAGGGAAGAAGGTAAGAGATCTGCTTACAACCAAAAACCGCAAGGAGATTTGGAACGGAAATCCATTCATGTCCTGAACTTCTCTAGATAAAGATGTAATTCAGGATTGCTGCACTTGCCTGTGTGTAGTATGCAATAGTGCTCTGAGACACATTCAATGTTTACACTTAGCTGATTATTGATTACTGGTAGACATGCTTCAGTTATAATTATTCTTATTTGGTTTCCCATTTGCAGCAAGTACTAAAACCTCTGGGCGCAAAGAATTTTTGTATGGATCTCGCTTTTAATTCCTCTGAAAGAACACTTGGGTCCAAATGATGACTTCATTTTCCCTGTTTTGATATGATGGACCTAATTCTAGAAGCAGATAGGTTGCAATCTTATTTATCAAATAGCCACTTTTAAATGGTAGTATTACAAAGGCATTTGATATCACCAACCAAGAAACATCAGCAAATCTGGATGGAGTGAGCTTAAGCAAAATGCCTATATGAACACAGTAATCACCACAAGAAAACACTTTTGAAGAAATTCATACATATTTCTGGACAATGGGAATTTAGCCCAACAAAGAGGGGCAATACACACGGAAATAATTTTTTGTTTTTTGAATCTTACACCACTTAGTTGTTGTCTCTCAAGTTTTTCTCTTTTCCGCACAATCACAGATTCCCATACCGCGTTAACAAACATTTCTACAGCTGTAAGAAACCTATCTTTGAATCTGACCTAAGAGTTTCATAGGGCACTTCCTTCAATGTTAAGTCCAGCAAGTGGCAACAAGGCTTTGTCTGAGAACAAAAATCACAAATTCTGATAAAAAAAAATAAAATTACTAGGTGGAAATGGAGAATGAAAATCCAATTAGCTAACAACTCCAGGACCTAAAAGCAGCATATGTTAAAGTCCACAATGATACGAAAATCAAGTCTGCAAATATGAGATCCTGTCTATATAGAAGAGGAATGCACATGAATTTGTATAAACCTCCATTAACATTTTATTATATCAAGCTCACAACCCAAAAGTGAGTGCATATAAATCATTTCACAACAATTGCAGGAAAACTCACCATTCTACGATCAATCATACAGCATCCATCAGCACAAAGAAGAGTCGGGAATGTGTCAAACCCTTCTGAAAGGCATAAACTAAGTATCAGGCGCATTCCCTTCTGACATTCAGGCATCTCAGACAAGGAAGTATCCCCTGTCGATTTCGTGTATGCACGAAGTAATATAATCCACCAAAATCCAGAATCAATAGGCGCCACTCTTCCTATTGCGCTCTCACCAAAATCTGCCATTAATGTCTCTGTATTCCTGACTGGATCATGGAGCACTTTAAAACTAGCTGGCATTACACCCTCTCCCAATTGGAATCGATCTATCTTTTTCTCCCATGACTGAAGACGAAGAGTTTTCAAGATGAAATTTCTTACGATTTCAGGTTCCCCATTCATTAAATAAGCCAACGCACTTGGAACAAAGTCTCTGACAAACACCTGGAGATACAGATGAACATTAATAGACATCTTGAACATGAAAGAATGTGGTCAGTCAAACCTCGGCTACAAATGAAACTGGCCATAGAATTATCCTTTCAGAATGTCATATAATACCAAAAGAGATCTCCTCTTTTTATTTAAGCACTTCAAAAGTATTTATATCATTTAGACAAAGGGATCTTCCAGAAGAGCATTTTTAACAATGATTTTCGTAAAACTCAATTATTAAAGGACCAGAATCTTTATGAGTGTATATAGGAGAACTCCTCATGTGTCATGCTATTACTGGACAGAAGATTGGAGATTATCTATTCCAGATTCAAACCGGCAATTTACAAGGAGGAATGCAGTGCCACAGAAGATGTAACAGTAAGTGCATTGATCCATTTAAATTGGACGAGGAGAAGCACTGTGCTCCTTCAGACTAGAAACCACAGTCAGGAATATAGTGAAATCTCCTGATCTGTCAAGAGTGAGCTAACGACTACAAGGGATGCAGCTGGCTGCAGTCCTTGAGCCCAGCTTGTAGCAAGCCAAACATTCCCCTACGAGTAAAAGATCTTAATTTAATTTACCATTGTTCTTCAGCAACCCAACAATAGCACATATATATCATCCTGTTTGAATACGGTTTCTAAATGTAAAGCACATCAAAGTTTATTACTTAGAATGCAGAGTACAAAGATCCCTCTGCAGGTATTAAGCCTTTTCCTATAATCTAAGCACACAAAACTATTACATTAAAGTAATTATCATACAATTTTCTACAAGGTAACTTATCAAAATGTAAATCAACATTACAGGAACAACTGTAATGCTGCAGAAAATGTAGAGTACGTAAACGTCAATTCAGTGAATCCAAACCTAAGTAACAGACAGTTCTTCCTTAGACCACAAATAAATTAGCTGTCCACAAGCTTCAATTAATCAATTATGATTCAATCTTCTTAAACAAGTCAAGGTAGGCTATATGAAGCGACTATATATATTTCTCTCTACTCGAGACCCAATTCATTCCAATCAAAAGCTAATGCACCACACACTGATCCATAATTTGCAATGACAAGGCAAGTGTGCAAGCAGAAATGAAAATTCTAGTGCTCTACACAGGATATTTATTATGAGGGCTTCACCTGATCGTAGTTAAGCTTTTCATCTGAACTGTCTAACGCGGCAATAGTCCCAACAGGACGCCCGCGAAAGTACACCAAAGAACGCCTCAAAGCTTCCCAAGCCTCAGCTATCATCGGATGTGGCTCGGCCCCAAAAGGTGACCTTGGAGTGGTAAAACCAGACCATTTTGCAGGTGAATGGACAGTATCAAAGTGGTCCGAACCGCGGGAATAATATTCTGCTCTGGAAGGGGGAGGAGGAGAGTTTCCCATCATCTGAGCTTCACTGAAGGACCTCTCATCGAGGGAGCCCTTCCTCTCAATGTTCAAGTTTCTTGGCCTAGGTATCCTCGAGAAATCAATATCATCCAATTCGGCCACACTACTACTGCAAGAGTCATAATTCTTTAAAGTACCATTCTGAGATACATCCACAAATGGTTTTGACATGCTTGAAACTCAACAATCTGCATAATTCAAACAAGAATTCAACCACATGCATATTGATCAGGAAAAGGCAGTAACCAACGTAACAGATCAAGAAACAGAGTGTTACATAGTAATATAAGAGTGTTCCCTATACACAAAGTGCTTCCCCTCTAGTTCAAAGGATAGGGATAAATAGAGAAGATCCAAGATTTGAACATTATAGGTTCCAGTTCAGAATTCTACCACAACCCATTTGATTTACTGGGTTCGAACTCTATCAGTTGTACTTATTTAATTTTTAACCCATATACAGGTCCGAGACAAAGCTATTGGGTTCGAATGAACCCATAGGTCCTTCACTACATCCGCCCGGGGTGGGAAAGTGGACACTGTATGCGGTCTTTTCCTTGCATTTCTACAAAGAAGCAGTTTCGAACCCTTAAATCCATGACATGCAAAAGTCACAAATCCAAGCCTAAGGCTCCTTAGAATCAAGATTCTCGATTAACCCTTTTCTCAATTCTTGAGTGTTTTGTGGCCAAGCAGGGGAAGCTAAGGAAACAAATGCTTATTTAAGTAAATTCGATAGAAACAAGAAGAAGAAAAAAAACATATGCGAAACACCAAGCAGAACTGCAAACTAGTAATGCATGAAGTAGCTAGTACCTAGAAAGTGAAAACGGAAGAAGAAATCATCATGTTTAACAGAAATTACACTTACGTATAGGACGTCCAGAATATGGTGAAATTAGCGAGAAAGAGCAATGATGCATAGATCACTCTGTGTGTGTGTTTGTGTGTGATGGTGAAATAATTGTTTATGGGACAATGATGATGACAAATGTGGTACTGCCAAATTCTGCCGTGGCGAGCTGTGTTGTTTTGTTTTTTAATACTCCCTCCTTTCCAATTTACGTGAACATGATCATTGGGCATGGAGTTTAAGAAAAAATGAAGAATTTTGGAATTTGTGGTCCTAAACAAGTTAAAAGGGACCCAGAGTATTTGTGTGATTATAAAAGCTTCTCGTTAAAGGTAGAATTGTAAGTTTAAGCTAAATTATTTTTAAATTTAGAAATTGGTCATTCTTTTTAAAACGAACCAAAAAGGAAATAGGTTCACGTAAACTGGAACGGATATAGTATCTATTTGTCAGTACTGAACTGTAGCAGCAATATTTTCATCGACTGGGAAGCATGGTGACAAAACAAGGAAAAAGATGAAATGTTAGGTGTGTAAATTTGGAATGTATATGTCTATGTGGGGGATGGTGATGAGGTAAGCCTGTAAATAATCTAAGGTAAAATACAGAAATGGGGGGCTATTGGTTTTGGAGTATTGCTGTGCTATGTATGACTAGTGGAGTGGAGTAGTTAGTACAACTCTCTGCAAAGCTGGACTACACTCTCTCACATTGAATGAGTCTTGCTTGCTCCGGTGTTAATAATAAACGTTAAACCGCCTCCACCATCAATCACTAACACTCTGTTATTGAACCCATGACCTTATGTAGATTTTGAACCCCCTTGACCATTAAACTACACTTTTTAATTGTATTAAGGGTGTTCAAAACTTAATATATAGAGATAAAAAACAGATTTTGCCTTATATATACAGTGTAATTTTTCGGCGAAGGGTGTTCACCCCCCCTAAATCCGCCCCTGATCGTATTATATCGTATCATTTTATGGATACAATGTTTGAATAGATTGCATTGTTTATTATTGTTAAATAATATTTTGTTGTTTGGTTTGACTGTATCGTACTATATTGTGATGACTCAAAAGATGATCACTCGTTATGAAAAGTAAATTCTGTGTCCCGAGGCCTTGAAAACCTCTTTTTGTCTCTCCTCGATTTGCGTGCACAGCCGGGGTGCTTTTTCGGAAAGCTTTTATGTGAAATATAAGAAAAATTATGAAATTGGCCTTTAAAATTGATTAAAGTTGACTATGATCAACATTCTTGGTAAACGGACCCGGACTCGTGATCCGACGGTCTCGTAGGGTCCGTAGTAAAATATGGGACTTGGGCGTATGCCCGGAATCGAATTCCGAAGTTCCAAACCCGAGAAAAGAATTTTTGAAGAAAATTGTTTGCTGGAAAATATAAAGGCTTTAAGAAGTGAATTAATGCAATTTCTTGATGGTATCAGGCCCGTATCTTGGTTCCGGAGCCCGGTACAAGTTTAAAATAATAATTTGGTTGAGTATGTGGAATTTGGCAAGAATCGGAAGTGGTTAAAACGGACCTATAGTTGAGAGCAAATAGAAATTTCAATGTTCTCGAGTAATTGTATGAACTTGAAGTTGAATTTGCAGTTGTTGATGATATTTTGATGATTTAATCGCACGAGCAAGTCCGTATGATGTTTTTAGACTTTCGTGCATGATTATTTTAGAGCCTCGAGGGCTCGGGTGAGTTTTGGATGGGCCACTGAGTGAATTTAGACTTAGAAAAATAGTTGTTGTAGGTTCAGAGAAGCTGCAGGTCTCTGAACTAAGCTTCACGACCGCGGTGGGGTTTTCGCGGTCAACGGTGGGCTAGGCCATACCTCCGCGGCCGCGCTCGATATTTCGCGGTCCGCGGTGGAGCTCCGCTGCCGCGGTCCTTTTTCTGCGGTCAGCGGTGAGGGTCTGAGAGGGATATATATAAACGAGACTTTTCAGCCATTTTTAATTTTTCAAAATCCTAAAACATAAGAGGCGATTTTTCAAAACACTCTTTCTTCCTCAAAACACAAGTAAGTGATTTTTAACTCATTTGTTTCACTCCTTAACTTCTTTTACTAGATTTTATCCTAGAATCTAGGTTTTTCATGATGGAATTGGAAATGTTGGGTAGAACTTAGGAATATCAAAATTTGGGGATTTAGACCTCAAATTGAGGTTGGATTCCAAAACCAATTGTATATCCGGGCTCGGGGGTGAATGGGTAATCGAGTTTTGGTCTGAATTTCGGGTTTAGACCAAGCGGGCTCGAGGTCAATTTTTCACTTTTTGGGGAAAACAATGGGAAATCTATTTTCATGCATTGGAATTGGTTTGTTTAGCAATTATTAACATTATTAAGTGAATTGTGACTAGATACAAGCGAATTGGAAGTGGAACCAAGAGGTAAAGCGGTAGCTGAGGCTTGATTGTGTTCGTGACATTGAGATAAGTGTTTGGTCTAACCTTAGTGTTACACCCCATATTTTTGTACATGAAAATACGCCATAAATAAATTAATGAGAGCCCAGAAGTGAGATGTCACGTCCCGCAGTATTACATTATGGTGATGTCACGTTTCACAGTATTAAGTTACAACGATGTTGCACCCTGAAGTATTGTACGTTAAAATTTCGTTTTCAGTTAACCGATGTAAGACTCGGGGATGAGATCATCTTGACGTTAACGTACTTATGCTATTTACAACAAGCGATAAATAAGTCTTATGAAGGATAAAAGAGTATACGGATTAAAAAAAACGAGTTTCGTTGAAAGTGGCCAATTTGGAATAAAATATGGGTCAAGCGATAATACCCGATAAATATGAACTAGTACCATGCAAGGTACCATATGATCATGGTAGTATAATATATAAAGTATATATGAGGTATTTAAAAAAAATAGAATTTTAAGTAATTCGGAGCAATTTTTAAGTTATGCGGGTAATTGGTTAGTTACCGGGTAACGGAACATTACCCAGTTAACTAATAAGCAGACAAAAATTTAATCAATTACCCATGGGGAATGTGGCAACCCCTCCTTTTGTATAAAATGAGTCATTAACTCATACTTTACATGTGTCTAGATTTAAAAATCCAAGTCTTACAAAGACTTTAGGTAGGCTTTATCAAAATCAAATAAAATAAACAATTTCATTTCAAAGACAAAGGTGCAATGTTACATTCTGTTCCAAATGAGAAACAGAACCTTCAACTCAAATTTCAAAATCAACGTTAGGGATCCTTGGTAACTTTTAAAAGACAATTTGTCTTTAAGAACAAAAATCGTTCAAGAACATAATGGAAATCGAAATTTGTCCAAAAATTTCAAGACCAAGCAAAGTTCGTTTCAATTTCAAGTAAATCCAGTGTAAATTTCGTAGAAGCAGATTCGTTCAAATAATTCCAGGAACAGGTATGTTAAGGCTATCCCTTCTTTCTTTTGGCATGATCTTGTCATTACACAAGTTTGATAACGAGGCATAAAGAAAAATTCATATCCCTGAATTTACGTATATTTTGCTAGTCTCGCAAATTGCGTATATTTTCCGAGTATTATAAGTTATAATATTATCCTTATCGGGACTTCATATTCAATTGAGTATTTCTTTCTTTCGGGCAAGAGAGTAGAGAGTTTACATATGTACAGTATTAAAAGTATTTTCATTACCATCAAGCTATAATCGATGGGCAGGCCCCTATTGGGCAACCTCTGATCAGATGGTAAGTTATATACCGAGCCTACTGTGGCCGAGCACTTATGAGCGAGCCCAGTTGGTCGAGATATAGAGCCTAGTATGGCTGAGCGCTTATGAGCGAACCTACTACGGTAAAGCAATTATATATATACCGAGCCTACTGTGGCCGAGCGCTTATGAGCGAGCCCAGTTGGTCGAGATACATAGCCTAGTATGGCCGAGTGCTTATGAGCGAGCCTACTATGGCAGAGCAGATATATATGTATACCGAGCCTTATAGGGCCGGACAACTATTTTACTTACTACATTGAGAGAATTGAGTCAGTATCAGCAGATAAGCATATCTTCAGATTATCTTTGACTTCCAGCTACTTGCAGTTATTATATTATCAGTTCAGTTTCAACTTTCAGTATATTGCCTTACATACTCAGTACATTATTTCGTACTGACGTCCCTTTTCTGGGGGCGCTGCATTTCATGCGTGCAGGTCAGACAGACAGACGAGTAGGCCTCTTCAATAAGTGTTGCTCGAGCTCAGCTTGATCGGTAAGCTCCATGCCTTTCGGAGTTTCCGGGTCTAGAGCCTTATGTATATTTTGTATCTATACGTATATATGTCATGAGTAGGTCGGATAGTCGTTCCGATCATAGTATATCCATTAGTAGAGGCTTGTAGACATATCTTGTCAGTTAGTGCAGTATGTTGGGCTTTCAGGCCTTGTATGTATATTTGGTTGGTTTGTCAGTTGTAATAAATATGACGGCCTTGTTGGCCAAGCTTTATATTCATATTTAGTCAGAATTCGTTGTCGTCTTGCAATGTGGCCCATGGCCAAAAGTATGACATCATATATTCAGAGTCTCTTAGTTGCAAGTTGGTACGCAAGGATACGTAAGGCACTGGGTGCCGGTCTCGCTCCCCCAAGTTCGGGGCGTGACACTTAGTTTGAGGGAATATGAGTTGTAGTCTTATTTGCTATGTGTTAATTATTGAGTACGACGTATAGGTGTGGTGACGAGTACCTATACGTGGGTGTCAAGCATGCCTGTGAGTCTTATACTATGATTGTTGTGACTCCGTTATGTATTGTCCATGCTTAATATGAAGATTACTAATGTTGAACAAGGCTTGTGGAAGTATTCTTGGTAATTGAACATTGTAGAGCATCGGCTCAAGTTGAGATTTGTGTTGTGAAGTGAATGTGGAAATGAGAAGAGGTTT